GAAAGAGCATACTGGGAAAAAAAAATCTGCTTTGTTGGCCCTTTATGAAGGACCTTAATTAGAAGTCACTCTTAACTCCTGGGGTGGGAACAGTTCCTAGTTTGCCACTACAGCTCCTCCTGCTGCTAATGAGCATGCTCCTTGCAAGGACTCCTTTCTTCTGACAGTGAAAGCTGCATGGAAGAGTTATTTCTGTTCACCCCTCTCTCTACATTTTAACCCTTTCTGCCCAAGTCGAGAGGATGCAAGTAGGCTATTAGGTGTTTTCTGTCATTGTTCAGGAAATTAGAAATGCTTCAGGGTAATAGGAAGTATATTTGTGAGCACAAAGCAGATAATGAGAGTTTAATTTATTCAAATATGAACAGTAGATGTTAACCATGTTTGAATCTTTTTTCTCTGGTAGTCATTTTCTAATAGACCTAAAATTTATAATTGAATAGTTGAATTATTTAGTTCATTATTATGTAATTAGAATCCCTGCCCACGACATCTGTTTCTCTTATTTAGGCAGCTCAGCTCATGGCACAGGTTTCATTAAATAATTAGCAGAGGGGATGTAAATTTCTTATGAAGACATGATGATGATCCTATAGACTGCTATTTATTTCATTAGCTTCTAATTAAAACACCAAGTTGACTTGTAAGAAAATGCCAAAGAATGGTCTGCTTTGCCAAGACGCTGTATATAACACAGTCACCTTCTTGAATGGCAGCATGGGGAGGGTGGTAAACAGTTTTCAGAGCTCGTTTCTCCTCCCTCTTCATAGAGGGGACCTTTAGTTAGCACAGGGATCCCTTTTCTATCTAATAGACCATCAACCAAAGGAAGGGTAACTTCCAGAACTTAAAAGTTATGGGTCTCTTAATGTCTCAGAATAGTTCCTTGATTCTAAAAAAATGGCGCATTCTGTTAAATACTTCATCCATCTTGGTTTAGAATCATCTAGGACTGCTTCTCACAGCGCAGACTTTCTGTACATGCATGCCTTTGGTTATAGATGTCTACAGATGCTGGAACATCGTCTCTCAGAGGACTGACTAGGGCTGAATGGTGTCCTTTCAGGACAGCCAATGCAATGTAGCCAAGAAGCTGTTGGCAGCAGCAGAAACCTCCCTTAGGACCTATTATTTCAGGAATATCCCATGCCTCTTACCTACCAGAACAAATAACTCAGTAGTCTTTGTAACAGCATGGAATAGATAAAGGAAACACTCAGCATGGGACCATGTAGACTTACAACGTATAGTACTGTTGGTGATTGTTTGTTGGGAAAGAGAAAAGAGAGGGCTGGACAGGCCTCCTAACTTTTGGGGTTACCATCAAGGTAGATCGGTGATGAGCAGTGGTCTTGGTTATATAAATATGAATTCTATTTTCTAATTATTAGACTGACACATTAAAAGATACCTCTTTTACACATCACCCCCTTGATTATTTGAAACTAGTTAGCCATGATACCGTTGCTACAGTGAACTTTCTTTCTTTTCCTTTTTTGCCAGCTTCATTGCCACACTGAAATGAAATAGTCTTTTCCTTGTAGGAAAGGTTTGCTTTAGTAGTGAAGGTAGGTTCTATTCAGGCAGTCAACACTGACAGTGTGGTACAGACTCATGTGCAAAGAGCTTTGAATATGATGTCTACATTTTTAGATACACTCTCGGTTCTATCAGAGGTGCGACAGAGAGGCCAACCATCTTTTTTTTTTTTTTTGGAGAGATTTTCACTGTAGGGCACGTGCACTCACCAGACAGACAAAGAGAGACATAGAGACAGAAAGCGAGAAATCACCCCCCAGGGGGGATGGTCATGCCGCAATCCCTTCTCCTCCATTCTCCTCTTGGGATCTTGGGCATGCACGCACACGCGCCCGGTGTGAGTTTTAAGCCACCGGGTCCATGATGCGAACCACGATTGGCTATGTGGGAGTCCAGCGACATAGCCATTACGCTAACTGCTGGTTCTCACCATCTTTTATACTATAGAGGTAATGCTGGCATCAAGCCAAGGGACTCTAGACTTTTATCGTATTCATAATGAAAGGTGGTATCTACCTCCCTCTCTTAGTGGGCACTTCTACCTGCCAGGTACACTTTCTTAAAAGGATGTCTCAAGGGGCAGCACGTGGTGTGGAGATTAAGGCACTGTATCCCAACTGTGTGGTTGGCGATGACCAACCACACCGTTCAAGTCCTAAACCTGGTGGCTTGAAAACCATACCGGGTGTGTGCGCGTGCATGCCCCAAGTCCTGAGAAGAGAATAAAAGAGAAGAGTTGAGATGTGGTCATCCTGCCTCAGGAGGGATTTCTCTCACTCACTTGCTCTCTCTGGCGAGCGCATATGCCCTATGGCAAAAAATTGAAAAGGAAGGGAAAATGGGGTTTCAAATTCAGACTCTTATCTCGAAACAAGTATCATTTCTTGTTACAGAAAATTCTAGATTTTTCTCTTCCTATTGCCCCCTTCTCCGTAGTATGACGGATAACTCTATAATAGAGTTACCAATACAAGTAGTATCATTGTTGGTTTGTGAAAGGATCCCGGCACACACACATGCAGAGCAACATAACTCATTAAAGGTGAATTCCTTTTGGCTGGCTGCTTTGTAAGGATTTACATTTAGATTGTTGCTGTTGCTCTTGTAGAGGAAGGAGGGTTCCAGGCCTGTCTGTAGCTACCTCAGTCACTATAGGCACACCGGCTCTAGTGGTTTCATTCAGCAGAGCTGGGATATAGAGCTGGGCTTGGCTTTCGGTTATTTTCATCAAAAGCTTTATTTAGTTGGTTTGTCTCAGGGGGAAACATAGGAGTGGGAGAATTAAATGAGATTTTTTAAAATGAAGGTTGCAGTGGCTAAGAACGGTGTGGGGTCCCACACAATGTGGGCTTAGGAGGCTGTGAGCAGACCTTACCATCATCACTGCTGGGGCCAGTGGCTGATGTTGGCAAAGTGTAGCATCTTCCTCAGAGAGAGGCAGGGAAAGGCATGCCCTCATTAAAATATATCCGACAGGTTCTCCCTAGAGCTATTTTAAATGGAAAGTCAGGCCTGCTTAGGAGATTCATTCACTCTATAAATACGTAGGCATGGAGGGACATCAGTGAACTAAGCCAGTGAAATGTCTTGCCCTCCTGCAGTTTACGTTCTCCTAGGGTACAGTGTTTAAAGATAAGTGTCCTAGAGGGATTTTGAAAGTGAGGAGGGGAAGCATGAGGGAAGAGGGATTTGGGTGCTCTAGATAGGAAGAAGGCTTCATTGAAAATGTGACTCAGATGGTATCTAGGGAGAAGAATAGAAGAGAAGGGATTGCAGTGACATGGTAGTTGGAGCACTTGACTCCCACATGGCCAACTGAGGTTCGAGTCCCAGACCCAGTGGCTGAAAATCACACTGGGCCGCATGTACGTGCATGCCCATATTCCCTAGAGGAGAATGGAGAAGGGATTGTGGCCAGGCCATCCCCTCTACGAGTGATTTCTCACTTTTCTTCTCTCTGGTGAGTGCATGTACCCTATGGCAAAAAAACTTTAAAAAAAAAAAAAGAGAGAGAGAAACGAGATTCCTGGTAATTAAGGGTGAAGGTATTCCAGATAGAGAGAAGAGAATGTACAAAGGCCTGGAGGTCAGAGACATAGAAGGCTAGTGTAGCTGTGGCAAAAGGAGAAAGCAGCTGGAAACGAGGGTCGAGAGATTAGGGAAGGGCACACTGTGCAGGGTTTAAGAGTTATAATAAGTATTTGGACTTTTACTCTGAAAAGGAGAGCTGTTTGTGTGTGAGCAGGGAAGTGACTTGACTCTAACTTGATTTTCTAAACAAGATCCCTTGGCTGCTATGTGGAGAACAGACTAGGGGAAAGGGTGGATCTAGATTATCTTAAGCCAGTCTGTTCAGGAGATTCCCCGCAGATAGCTGTTATTATAAACCACTTTGAGACCTTGGCAAGAGTTGTATCCTTAGTATGCAGTGGCACCTATTCCAGGAGTGCAGTGTTAACCTTTTATGGAAGGCAAGAGTTATTTACAGCTTGCCTGTGACAAACTTTACTGCATGTTAGATACTTTTTTGAGGTTATACAAGACACAAGTTTATACACACTACACCTCTTCCTACCATTTTGTAGGGTTTATAGTGCCAACCACTACCCACTGCCCAGTCCCCATCAACACACACTGTGAAGGCCACAAGACAGCTTACTTGTGAAATATAGGGGTACTCCTTTACTCTGAATAAAGATGAACTAGTTCTCAGTGTTAGAACCTGATTCTTCTGTGTTGAAGAGTAGAAATGTAAGTAATTTTAATAGAAAAGATTATAGGTCACCATCAAACACTGACTTTGGTTATGGTTTTGTGCTAAGCATAGTGATATGAAGATACAGTAGGTAAAGGATACCTTGATTCTCAAGCAGCTGGGTCTGGGGCTTGAACCACAGTCAGCTCTTTGGGAGTCCAGCACTTTAGCCACCACACTACCTGCTGACGCTATAACTTAGCTATCTTTAAAAATTGTTTAATTTTTATTAATTATTGATTTTTTTTTATAAGTTTGCTACAGGGCACATGTGTTCAGTAGAGAGAGACAAGAGAGAGAGAGTGAGAAAGCAGGCTGCCAGGTCTGGGACTCGAACTGTAGTTCATCATGTAGGAGTCCAGTGCCTTAACCACTGAGCCACTTGCTGGCTAGCTTTATTTAAAAACATCACCATAGTACTGTTTTTTGTTGAGCCATCCCCATCCTCCTCTTCAGGAGGATCTTTAGGCCTGACAGCTTAGCCCTGGGTTGTTAGAAGTCGATCCTAAAGGTACATGCTTGTCACAGCTGGTGTAGTCTAAACCAGTAGAGTCAGACCAGCTTTCTTGCTTACCCAGATCCAGTTCTTCCCCGGACAAGGGCAGCAGCCTGGTCAGAAGAATGCCTGGCAGTACATTAATCAGCTGTACTTGGCCAGGCCAAGCACACACCCTGATCCCCAAATGAAATATGTTATTTTGGTCAGATTCACAGTCTGAGAATGAGGCATCGCCAGTGAAACGGCCACGACTACTGGAGAACACTGAGCGGACCGAGGAAACCAGCCGATCTAAACAGAAGAGTCGACGTCGGTGCTTCCAGTGCCAAACCAAACTGGAGCTGGTGCAGCAGGAATTGGGATCGTGTCGCTGCGGTAAGCCTCTCCCCCAGTGGCGTGAAAGAGACTGTCCTTAATATCCTTGGCATAGCCTCGGAGATTATTCCTAAGAAGGTAAAGGCTTACTTCATTGTTTGAGAGAGTACTCACTGTGAGCTGTAGGTTTGGAGCTTGGGAATCAGGCATATGGAATTCTTGCTTTCTAAATACCATTTCCTCCACATTTTTTTTTAAAGCAGAAATATTCTACTCTTACACATATTTCTTTAGCGTTACATTGTCACTGCTTACTGCTTTCGACTTTTCCCTATCACTTACCACTCTTTCTTTCCTGTCCAAAGCTTTAAAAATCTATCAAACCAGCAGAATTCTGAGATGTGTACCATATAATTCACATAGTAAATTAATTTTGAATGAGCTTTTTCCCGTTTATAATCAATATAAGATTTCTCCCCCATATCTTTTTCAAACTATAGTTTGATTTTATGTTTCTTTAAACCTTTATTCATGCAGTCAGCACGCTAGAAGAACTGTAAAGTAACCGTTCCTTTTGTTTACTGCAGCATAATTCCACCTGGTAGGATTACTACACAGGAATCCATTTGTAAAAACTCAGTGTCTGTCCACGGTGGAACAAAAGTTAAACCAATCCTTTATCTCTAGCACCTTAACCTCCATACCGCCTACTGGCTCTGTTTGCCTTTTTTTTTTTTTTTTTTTTTTCTTTTTTTTTCCTTTCATGAGAGTGAGAGAAGGCAGCAGGAAAACATGACAAGCACCCTCAACAAGGTCTCATGCCATGACCCCCTCCCCCCAGCTCCCAACCAGTCAGGGTCATGGGCATGCTTGCCTTTTTGTGTACAGGTTAGATGGGAGGACTGAACTCAGCATTGATTGAGCAGTGCATTAGTGCTATGCCATCTAACTAGCCTTCCTAGTTTTAAGTTTTAGTAATTTATATTTCAGTTTTTGCTATAGGGTGCATGCACTTGATAACTCCCCCAAGGAGAGATGGCCACATTGCAGTCCTTTCTCTACTGACCATTCTCTTGGGAATTTGGGCACTTACATGTACACACCTGGTGTGATTTTCAAGTCGCCAGGTCCAGGACTCAAACCAGGAAGCTGGCCATGTGGGATCCAGCACCTTGACCTCCACACTACCTGCTGACCCCAGAACATTGTTTTAAACAACATTAGTTCTGGGGAGCAGAGGAGTCATTAGGCAAACTTAGAGGCCTGCCTCTAACCTCTCAGAATCCTATCTCTTTGTTTCATCCTGAGAGGTCAGCTTTATTTTTTTTCCCCATAGTTTATTTATTTATTCATTTTTTTATACATTCAACCACTATATATCATTATAGCTTGCAAAATGAATTTCCCCAGCATGGATACACTGTATATTATTCTAGTTAAAGGTATTATCATGCAAGTTATCATCCACAGATAATTTTCTATTTTTGTGTCCCTTAAGTGTTTTGTTTCTTTTCTTTCTCCCTTGATTCCCTTCCTCTCACCCTCACCCATTTCCCACCTTCCTCCCACACTGTCTCTAATATCCACAATTCTCCATGCTTTTCTATCTTCCAGTCTTTCAGATTCTACCATAGAGTACAGACATTTGGTATATAGTAAGTGGGGACATACAAAGTCTCTCTTTGATAGTCTGGCTTGCTTTACTTAGTTGTAAATAGTCCATGTTCATCTGCATTCTATCAAATGCCAGGGTCTTATTTTTTCTGGCTGAGTAGTATTCCTTAGCATATATGTGCCATACTTTTTAATCCATTAATCTGTTATGGACATTTGGGTTGGTTCCATGTCTTAGCAATTGTGAATAATGCCATGGTAAATGTGGATGTACAAGTACTTTTCTGACTGAGTATATTCCCGTCCTTTGGGTAGATACCCAGGAATGGAATTGCGGGATTGTATGGTAGTTCTATTTGTAGATCTTGGAGGAACTTCCATATTGTTCTCCACAATGACTACTAATTTACACTCCCACCAACAGAGTAGGAGGGTTCTATTTTCACCACAGCCTTGCCAGCACTTAACGTTTTTAAGTTTTTTAAGAATTATCTTATTTAACTTTATTTATTTATTCGTTTATTTTCATTTCACCAGAGAGGGACAGAGAGAGAGAAAGCAAGAAAGCCAGCCCCCAGGTCCAGTACTTGAACCGCATTCAGCCATTTGAGAGTCCAGTGCCCTTAACTACCCGCCACCTGCCAGCACCTCATTTTTCATTTTTTTAATCTTAGCCATTCTGACGAGGGTTAGAGCGTATCTCATTGTGGTTTTGATTCGCGTTTCCCTTATGTTAAGGGATGTTGAGCATTTTTTCATATGCCTTTTGGCTCTCATGTGTCTTCCTTAGAGAGTTGTCTGTTCATTTGCCCATCTTTTAATTGAGTTGATAATTTATTTTTTTTTCATTAGTTGTTGTTTTTGTTTTGTCTTATTTTTCAGTTAAGGTACTTGAGTTCCCTGTATATTCTGGTTATCAGCCTCTCATCTGAAGCATAGTTTACAAATATATTCTTCCATTTCAAGGGTTACTGATTCACTCTAATTATTGTTTCTTTTGCTGAACAGAGAAGCTTTGTAACCTGATGTTATCCATTTGTCTATTTTTGAATTATTTTCTGTGCTTTAGGGGTCTTAAGGAAGTCTTTTCTGCTCGAATGTGCCCCAGAGTTTTCCTTGAAGGCAAGAGTTTTATAGTTTGAGGCCTTAAGTTTAGATCTGTGATCCATTTTGAGTTGATCCACTTTTGTTAATGGCAAGAGATAGGAGTCTAGTTTTATCTTTCTGCAGGTGGATATCCAGTTTTTCCAGCACCATTTGCTAAAGAGATTTTTTTTTTCCCCTGCTGGATCGACTGGTGCCCTTTGTCAAAAATCAATTGGCTGTGCAGTTAGCGTAATGGCTATGTCACTGGACTCCCACATAGTTGACCACGGTTCACGTCCCTGACCTGGTGGCTTAAAACTTACGCCAGGCGCGTGTGCGTGCGTGCCCAAGATCCCGAGAGGAGAATGGAGGAGAAGGGATTGCAGCGTGACCATACCCCCTGGGCGGTGATTTCTCGCTTTCTGTCTATGTCTCTCTCTGTCTGTCTGGCAAGCGCACGTGCCCTATAGTGAAAACCTCTCCAAAAAAGAAAAAAAAAATCAATTGGCTATATGATTTGGGGCCTATTTTTGAGGTCTCTGTTCTGTTCCATTGATCCATGTTTCTGTTTTCGTGCCAGGACCATGCTGTTTTGGTTATCACAGCTTCTTCATGTATTTTAGGGTCAGAGAGTGAGGTGCTTCCTACTCTGCCCCTCTTGCACATTATCTCTTTGGCAATATGGGGTCGTTTATGATTCCAGACAGATTCTAGACCCTCAAGCACAAGAAATAATCCCAAAAATAGACAAATGGATAATATCAGTTTAAAGCTTCTCTGTTCAGCAAAAGAAACAATAATTAGAGTGAACAAGTAACCCTCCAAACGGAAGAATATATTTCCAAACTGCTTCAGATAAGATCCAAAAGGAAGGAGCCTTACCACATTCATTTTATGAAGCCTTCATTGCCCTCGTCCCTCAAACAGACACGGACATACCCCCCACACCCCCCCCAAAAACAAAAGAAAGAAAGAAAGAAAATTTTTTTTCCCTAAATCTGTGAAGACTGTCTAGTACTTTGATTGGAATTTTGAATTTGTTAATTTGAGTAGGATTGACATTTTGATAATAATTTTTCCAATCCAGAAACATGGGATATCTTTTCCACTATTTTGTGTCATTTTCAATTTCTTTTGGGTTGTTATTTTTTGTTTGTTTGCTTTTTTTTTTTTTTTTTTTTTTTCGTAGTTTTCCTTGTAGAAGTCTTTGACTTCTTTGGTTAGGTTTATTCTTCGATATCTTATTTCTTTTGTTGCTGTTATAAATGGAATTTCTTTTTTCCATTCTACCTGTCTGTTTACTGTTTGTGTGTAGAAATGCTACTGACTTTAGTGTGTTGATTTTGTATTCTGCCACTTTACTGTATTCACTTACCACTTCGACGAATCTTTTTGTGGATTATTTTAGGGTTTCTATGTATATAATCATGTCTCTGCAAATAGAGAGTATTTCACTTCTTTCCCTCTTATGCTTTTTATTTTTTATTTTTTAATTTTAATAATTATTCATTTAATTTTATTTATCCATTCATTTATTTTAATTTGACAGAGAGAGATGCACAGAGAGAAGAGAGGGAAAGTGAGAAAGCAAGCCACTAGGTCTGGTATTCGAACCGTGGTTGGCCATGTGGGAGTGTCCAGTGCCTTAACCACCACACCACCTGCTGGTCCCCTATGCTTTTTATTTTAGTCTCTTGTCTGATTGCATTGGCTAGGACTTCCTCACCTCAGGGAACTAGAAGACAACAACAACTGAAAAAAAGAAAAAAGGCAGGAGAAATGAAATAATAAATATTTGAGCAAAAACAAATGAAATTGAGAATAAACATACTATACAGAAAATAAACAAAACCAAAAGGTGATTCTTTGAGAAGATAAACAAAATTGATATACCTTTAGCTAGACTAATCAAAAAAAGAGAGAAAGGAACCAAATAGATCAAATTCGCAGCGAAGCAGGCAATATTACAACAGAGATAAAAGAAGCACAAAAGATCATTAGAGAATATTATGAGTAATATGCCAACAAACAAGAAAACCTGGGTGAGATGGACAAATATTTGGACACATACGAGCTACCAAGACTAAAGTAGGAAGATAAACCAATTACAAGCAATGAAATTGAATCAGTGATAAATAACCTCCCAAAAAAGAAAAGCCCAGGTCCTAATGGTTTCACTTCTGAATTCTACAAAACCTTTAAAGAAGAGCTAATCCCCATTTTACTCAAACTCTAAAGATCCAAAAGGAAGAAACCCTCCCTCATTCATTTTATAAAGCCTCCATTACCCTCATCCCTCAAACAGACAAAGACATAACAAAAAAGAAAAGAAAAGAAAAGAAAAAATTACAGAACAATAT